GCCTGATATGAAATGTTCACCATAACATGACAGCAACTTTACTTCAGTTGGACAATCATAAGCATAATATTTTTTATAAAATTTTAGTTCTTTGGTGAAAAATCCATGGCAAGTGTGCTAAAAGTTCCAGCTGCTGCTAGCAGCTGGCTGTTATTTTGAACCCTGGTGTTTTGATAAGAATTACAGGAGTACCAAAAAGAAACTGAAGAGTCCTCCTCCTAACTTTCAAATAAATCAAGTTGTGAAAACTGCCCAATGATTAACAGTCATTTCCCAAAGGCAGAGTGAATATTGTCACTTAATTCAATGGTCATAAAAATGTTGAATACCAAAGGGATGTAAAAAAAAAAACCACACAATAAAATGGAGAAGGAAGAGTCAAACATTACAAACCTGAGCAACAATGACCACATGCCTTCCACTGAACTTCTTCTCAAGTTCACGTACTAGACGGGTCTTTGAGAAAATAAAAGGCAAAGTATTAATTAGAAAGAGTCCAGAAGTCAATGAAAACACTACAATAAAATTCTCTAATGACAGCTTTCATCAGAACCTTTAATTTTCTTTCTCAGGTTCAGACAATTTAGCTCTCATCAGAGGGCTCCTCTCAGAAATATTTGTCATCTCAATCAAACTTTAAATCAGACTGGGGCGACATTTTCTTTCATCATGAAGGATTCCGGTGAACAGGATATTGTTTGTGCAGTGTTATTACCAAAATCACAATACCCTGCCCTAATTCAAGGGTGCTTTTATGTTCATGATACAACACATGGTTTTAAATTTCATTAAGTGTTGGAGTAATACTTTCCACTGTTTGAAAGCAGCATCATACCACCATTCTCAAAAGAAATCAGAGACAACAGCAAACTATTACAAACAATTGACAATAATTATCACACCAATTGTGATAAAGGGTACCATAATTTCCAGCCATTTGCTGCATACGGCGAAAAAAAAAAGTCAATAGATTACCCGCACTGGTGGATAACCTGCATGTTATGTTATTCAACTTTTTGGTGGCAAAAACATGACATTAATGTGGTACAATTCAGTCTTTTAATAGTTGTCTGATCTAACTTTCAAAAACTTGAACACTTCTTTGTTGAGTTTAAGGTCAAAGAAATTCAGACATGTGCACAATTCTGTGTCAATATTAGCATGTACTTTATTGCTAAAATTATGCAGTAAAAACACTAGCAGCCCATGCCCAAATCTCCATGTTTCATACTTGACAGAATGTGAATTTGTGGCCAAATTTTGTATGAGCGATCGTTCAGAGCCATTTTGATTTGTTCAAAGAAAGCTGGGTGAGTGTTGAAACTTGAATTATAAAGTACTGTCAGCGATTTCTGAAAAAAATAGATATCTCCGGTTCAAGTCCCTTAAAACGGGAAAGTTCTCTTTAGCTCAAGCTAGTGTTAAATGGAAATTTGTTATTGATGCGCCGGATATCTTTGGATTATTTTTGTCACCATCATGGTTTTGTTTTCATGCGTGCTGATAACAATTTGTTCATCACACAACTAATTATGCATGAAATAAATTTGAGTCATAATCATGTTTTCGTGCTGCTTTGTGGCAATCTTAATACAATAAAATTCAATTGAGAGGTGGAAACACATGAAGGTGAGAATTTTTTCTAGTTCAACTACCAGTAGATTTTAAAATTGTCACATAACCTGCACCTCCCTATTACCCTCAGTGGTGCGTGTTTAACGCAAAATCAGCAGATTGCCCATGGGTATACGGCCGGAAATTATGGTAATTAAGTATTATTAACAAGTTGATAATAATAATTATTAATATATTTATATATATTTATGTATATCTATGTGTATATATATATATATATATATATATATATAAATATAAATATATATTAAAAAAAAAGTTCAATTGAGAGGTGGAAATGCATGAAGGTGAGAATTTTTCCAGTTCAACTACCAGTAGATTTTAAAATTGTCACATAACCTGCACCTCCTTGTTACCCGCAGTGGTGTGTGTTTAATGCAAAATCAACAGATTACCCATGGGTATAGGGCCGGAAATTATGGTAATTAAGTATTATTAATGAGTTGATAATGTAAATCGGCCACCCTACATAGTTTCAAAGCTAGCTTTACATTATCAATTCAATTGACAATGCTAAATCACCCTGTTAAAGTCTCCTACCAATGCAGCACCACAATTTATTTAGAAACTTACCCCCTTTACTCAATTATGATAAAGGTTGTATTGACCCCTGAATAAGTATTATTAATGAGTTGATAATGTAAATTGGCCACCCTACATAGGTTCAAAGCTAGCTTTACATTATCAATTCAATTGACAATGCTAAATCACTCCGTTAAAGTCTCCTACCAATGCAGCACCACAATTTATTTAGAAACTTACCCCCTTTACTCAATTATGATAAAGGTTGTATCCCTGAAGAACCTTGCCCTATCTCCTTGAGAGAGTAAGGTTGCTTCCTTCACATTTCATCAAAGATTATAGTTTTCCAAATAGTAAAAAGAGTTGTACCTTCAAGTCTAAGAAATCACATTGCTGTTATAGATAGCTAAGAGCCTTTAAATGACACCTTTTAAATGCCTAACTTTAACAAAAATGCAAGTAGATCATGCATAGTAGAGAAACACACTGATTATTACTATACTTTAGGATTAAATTATTTGAATTTAGGGGCAAGTTTCTTAAGAAACTTTGGTGCTGCATCAGTGAGGGTATAACAAAATAATTTGGTTTAAGAGCCTTTAAATGACACCTTTTAAATGCCGAACTTTAACAAAAATACAAGTAGATCATACATCGTAGAGACACACACTGATTATTCCTATCCTTTAGGATTAAATTATTTGAATTTAGGGGCAAGTTTCTTAAGAAACTTTGGTGCTGCATCAGTGAGGGTATAACAAAATAATTTGGTTTTCATCAACTGAGTTTAAAATGTATCTTGGCCACTGTTAAGAGTTTATGACGTTGATGTTTCAAACATTAGCCCTTCATCAGAGTGAATGGCAAATCTGCTCATGAATGGCTTTTTTTTGGTAGTAAATTTTAATCATTGATTCAGTTGATAAAACCAAAATGGCTTTTGTGAAAAATTGTTGGGAGAGATTCTTATATGCTTTCCTTGATAAGGGTAATATAATGTTGTCAACTGAGTTGATAATGTAAATTGGCCACTGTAAAGAATTTAGAGGCTGACGTTTCGAGTGTTAGCCCTTGTCAGAGTGTTAGCTCTTCCCAATTGCTCTGATGAAGGGCTAGGGCACAAAATGTCAGCCTTTAAACTCTTCACAGTGGCCAATTACCCTTTTATACTCTCCCACCAACACAGCACCAGAGTTTCTTTTAAACTTTACCCCCTTTATTCCCTGATAAGGGACAAGCACTTGATTCTTTCCAAAAACATAAGGCTACCACTCTCACATTTAGTTGCAATATATAAAATATGATGTTTAACTACCTGGATCTTCTGGAAGGATCTGATTTGTGGTACAGGTACGAAAATGACTATAGCTTTTCTTCCTCCAACATCGACTTCCTGTAAAATTATTCAAGACTGTAAGTAATATAGAATTTTTAAGACGTCTTACGTGTAATTCTGTGTTCTTATGGTAAGACACAATCGTGATAGTGAGTAGTTACTAAAATTTAACTTGACATACCTTCGCTCCAGAGATGTACAGTTCTCGAAGCTGCGACTTGAGATCGGTAGAGTTCAGTTCTAACTCGAGAAGAGCCTATGAAACGAATGAACACAAAGTTTTTCCCACGTGAGCAGACATACACAAATTAAACTACTAAACATTGTGCTCCTTTCCTTCGTTAGTTTTAAGGGTAAAAATTTAGTTTGAGAAAGTGAAGATAGTACCTCTGATACGCTTTTCTCCAATTCATTTGGCTCGCCTGTTCCTGACGGCTTGACTATTTTTTGCGTTAGCATAGCTGATCTAAAAACAACAACTCAGTTACGCCAACGGAAAATAGAGTGCGTAAGAAGAGCCATCGGAGAATAATCGTGGCTCAATCTGAGATTTAAAGAGTTAAAAAGTCATACAAGATACGTAAAACTACTATTTGTCAAAAACTAAGGCTAAAATATAGCAATCTTTCACAGAGTATCTTGTACTAACCACTTTCTTGTGAAGGCAGCCGAGAAGAGGCCGACATGCGCATAGCCTCTTCAATTAGGTGTTCGAAGCGCAAGTCCTTACAAAGAATTCCGCTGACCGGCCTTTCGTTCTTGTTGTTGTTGTTCTTCCTCCAGCAGCACTTCTTGCAGACTCACCGCGGGAATTTTAAAGCAGAAAAGAAGATGAAATGGGAAACACGTTAAGCAAACTAAAAAGTTTTGCTTCATTTGTAAGAATTGCTGTCACTCTACTCACTTTCTGAAAAGGAGATGAATGAAGAAGTTGAAGGTTTGTAGCGTTGCGGTGTTGTTTAAATTTTCTTTTTCGTGTGTGTGTGTGTGCAGTATTTCGGTTCCTACTTTGCACTGCGAGAGGAAGAAAGTACCAGGAATTAATTCCAGTATCTCTTTATGGAAGTCTCTCCCTATAGTTTCTATTGTGTTTCAAAAAATGCTTGTCCAACAGCCCTGAGTGGTCCTGAATGCGAAGATTATCAGGTCGAGTGTCAAAATTTCGAGGGGCACTCACCGGGTATCTGAAGGCCTTAAGTATTGCCTTCTTAATAGATCCAAAACTGATCCAAAAGCAAAATTTCTTCCTTTAAATAATCAGAGAACTTTAGTGTAGAACTCTTTGAGACGTGGACGGCGACCGGGAGACGAATTATACTAATTCTGGGGCACTTCGACACCAATGTATCGATCACAAGGTCACATTACATGTAGGTCTCAAGAATAAGGGGAGTGATTGCAAATTTAAGATGCACTTGAGTATAGAGAATTTCCCTTTATTAGTACCATTGAAAATGTATTGAGAACGGTTTGGAGATTATGCACACTGATAATAAAATGGAGAGGGTTAGATGATTAATTTCCCAGGACTACTGGATCCAGCTTTATTCTTTGATTTCTTTTCATACATTAACTCTAGATATGAAACACGAATATAACTATAACAACGAGATTTGATGCTTTTTTCAATATTTTGTGCGTATAAGATTAACAAATTGTAGTGAATTGTAATAGAAAATGCAACACTGAAATATATGTTAAAAAACATGTTCAAATTTTCCAGCCGAAGATTAAATAATATTCTATTTAAACTGATTCATTCATGTTGCATCCTTGCTGTTATTGTGAAAAAGATAAAGTCATGCTTATGGCAATTAACTCAACTGAATCTTGTCTTCAAAAGATAGTGACTAACATTCGAATACCAAAACTTATGAAGTTATTAAAGACAGTGACCAAAATTAATGCAATTTTGCCATAATAATAACCCTGTTATAAATTCTAAGTTAACTCTTAACTCACTCACAAACTCAACTTACTTTTGATTTTTCATGATGGGCCTGAAGGGGAAAAATTAGAAATGGGACTTTGGATAACTTTGGCCTAAGAATGGGATCCCTTCCTTCAAGACCGTCCCCTCTGATAGCAAACAAAAAAGAAAAAACACAAACAAGCAAACAAACAGAAGCAGAGGAAAGAGAAGGAGAGAGAAAGGGAGAGAGAGTGGGAAAAAAGAAAGGAAAAAGTCAAGACCAGCTATCCTACAGCAGTTCATCTTATCCACATTTTATCTGAAGTTGAAAAAATGCATCATGAGTGGTACCCAAACTGGGAAGAGAATTCTCACACAATTGTATGTGTAATTGGGTGGAACAACTGATATGTAAATGGAATCCCCAACATACATACCACAGTCACATTCAACATGCAATATTCACATAATAGTGTAAAGAAGAAAAGTACTTTTTTTTAGAAACAAGCTACACATGGGTAGTTCTGAAGAGGATTGCAGAAGCAAGTACAATGCCTTTCTCCAAAAAAGTAACACCTAAGTTCCCCCTTCTACAAATTGGGGGCTTCAATTACCCCCTCATAATTTCCAGTCAACCTCCAAAGAATGGACAAGATTATTTCCTCAACCTACTCCTTCCATAAAAATTTCTCCATGACCTGATTCTAATGGTTTGATCTTGAATCAAAACCTGTCATCTCATACAGTGCCCAAAATCCCTCAAAGTATAGAAACAAGTCAGAAAAGGTTCAACATTTGAGTGTTGTTATATTTAAATGCAGCAACTACAACATCAAACTTGTCCAATAACAGAAAATATGATAATTTAGAATTGTCCCAAAACTAGCTATTTTCATGAATTTGTGGTGAAAATTTACTTCACATCCATTACTTTAATGAGAAGCATGAAATCTTGTTCCCCTGAGTATGAACTGAACATGTGTTAGAAACAGTTCCACTCTTATTGCCATATTGTGGCATTGTTTAATTTTGTGAAACTGTTAAGACAATTAAAAGCACAGTCCTGAAATTCGAATGTCACAACAAAGAGCAAGATATCTTATTCTTTTTGCCCTTTGTCCTCTGCTTGTTTGGTTTAAGTGTGATAATATCTCCAGTCTCTACTTGTTGTGTTGCGCGTGCATTGTTGTTTCCACCTTGTGATGCATTCACTGGTGAGGTTGAATTAAACATTCCAGCAACTGTGAAAGAGAATTCAAAGAATATCATTAAATACCCTTACCACTGGTAATACAAATATGCTCATATCCTGCACTGTCAAAAGAATGCATACAGTGAGATTTTTCTTTCAGTCTGAACACCATTAAATTTTTAATACCTAGCTGGTGAGAGCTCTACAAGTTGCCCAATTTACTCCCACAATCTAAATATTTGATATCCTTGCTGTCTGCCTTACATTTCATAAATTTTTAGATCTGAAAAATGCTTGGGTAGCTTTCATTACTCACATGCACTTAGTTATGATTATCATACGTACATGCTTTCAGAGCCATCAGGTTGTATTGTTCATACTTGACCCTTTCTTAAATTGTCAACTTTTTTGGCATTGAGTGTATGCCAGTGTGTATGCTATTGTTTATACCAACGTGTATACGAAAAAAAGTGAGCATGCTTAACCCGTAAACTCCCATGAGTGACCAAGGCAGAATCTCTCCTTATAATATCCATACAACATCAAGCAGATAAGTAATGAAAATAAAAAAAAATCGTTTAGGGGATCATTAGTTGATCTAATACCTTATCCTCCAAACTAACATCATCATCATTGTATGGCAGACAGTAAGGATAATTTACTATAAGATCTTGGAAGTTGATGGATAGGGTGGTGAGAACTAATGATATTCTGAACATTTCAGTGCACTAAAGGTTGAGGGAGTTTGTTACAACTAGAAAAAACATTTCAAGTTGGAAATCTATAAGACATATAAGAAGCCACAAAAAGTAAATCAGTAGTTCTAAATGTCTGAGTACATTTTTCAATGCAGGTACATGTAATGTTATTGTAAATAAGAGTGGTGAAACTTTACCATTTTTGTGTTGTGATGGTTTGGGTTCCTCTACATCAACATTCTGCAGTATTTCTAGATACTTTTCAGTGAGATACATGAATACTGGAAGAGAACAAAATCAATCCATTACACAAGGAAAAATTGTACATGAGATTTATGTTTCTATCAAATTCATTTGTGACAAAATATACAATAATTTGTTAATGTTTTGTGAAAATAAATTAACCATGGGTCTCTCAAATGCATGCAGGTGCAAACACTGAACTACTGCATGGGGTAATTTATTAAAACTGGCCACATCAAATGTTGTTTGACTATTTAACTCCCATGAGTGATTAACACTGTAAACAGGTTAAGAGAACTGACATGGTTATCAGCTAGCAGGTTTTATCTCGACATACTGTATTTACCCGTGTATGATACGCGCCCATGTACAATACGCACACTGATTTTTGACCAAATTTTCCATAAAAAAAAGTTTTCACAGCAAGAAAAACGTTATTTCTTCCTACAACTGACGTTTCGCAGTGGTAAGTTTCGTTACCATTTTGAATTTCTTATTGCTTGTGATTACAGTAATAAGGTACAATCGTAATGTTTATCTCGTCAGCTTTTTCTTAAATACTCTACTAAATTTATTCATGGATCGAAATTGAAAATGTTTCATTGGTAGATTATTTAACTCAAGCTAATAAAGACTAATTACTATGAGGCTTTCATTACTTTCTTTGTTGTGTTTGTGGATCAAAATTGAAAATGTTTCATCAGTAGATTATTTAACTCAAGCTAATAAAGACCAATTAATACTAGGCTTTTGTTTCTTTCTTTCTTGTGTTTTTAATTTATGCAAATTAGGACGTGCTTGAAAAACAATAGAAACCATGTATAATACGCACCGCGATTTTGATGGTTATTTTTAAAGGAAAAAAGTGCATATTATACACGGGTAAATATGGTACATGTAACACCAAATTCTCTTGTCTGATTTGTAAGGAAGTGTATACCAGTCACTCAGGAGAATAACTAGTTGGATCTTGAGATTACAGGGTTAAGCACAATGAAGGTATTCTGTAATGCAACACAGTTTACCTTAATTTTAGATTCTCTATTTCACAAGTTCAGATTAATGGTAAACATGTAACACCATCATGATCACATAAGACCATCATGGTGCTTTCTCTTGGTTTTGAACCAGTTACAATACAATGATCATTGTAATACACAGAAGTGGAAAACAAAAATGTAAATTCAACTAGTTTACTGTACTTTCTGCTTACCATCATTAACATTTAGATCCTCTTTCACAGAAGCTCGATAAAATTTTAACCTTAATCTTTTGGCTAGTTCATCTGCCTCTTCACTGCAACCAAAGCAACAAAGTACTACAAATTAGTGCCAAACACTAAAAGGCTAGCAAAAAAAGAAAAAATATATATTTTCAATCTAACCAGTCAATTGGGTACAATTATTACATGACTGTGCATTGAATATGAGAAGGTAAATAGCCAATGAGGCATGTAGCAGTGAGTTGGCTATGACCAATCTCACATCCAACAAATGCAAATGAAATAATTGTTGTGTTAAATTTCATTAAATCCTAAAAGTTTGGATATTTGACAAATTTTCAGCTTTGCAACACTAGGCTCAATGCATTTCCAAATAAGGTGACTCAGAATATGAGCTGATAACCAATCCAAATTGCAATATTTGGAGTTGAAAATTAAATAATTCCTAATATCCTTACTACACAAGCATCAATCAATTAAGACCAGTAGGTAGAGGAGTCTTCTTTGTCTTTAACACACTAACTCTTAATTTCATTTGAGAATCCTCCCATCTATGTACCAAACATGAACATTTTGGCAGCGTTTGAAAACAAGGTTTAAACTGGTAACTTTGAAAGACAGACTGCTGGTGATTTTTGCGCAAAATTGTTTAACATTAAGGAAATCTGGGGGAGAATAGATTGAAAGGGTGTTACACTTCCAGGAAATACTGGTCACCAGAAGATTTTCTATATTTTCAAAAACATACTCAAACCTAATTTGTCTCACAGGAAAATGTAGAAGCAATACTTGGTATGCAGTTACAATAAATCAAGTAGCCTGAAAATTATAGGCAGACAAACTTACACTTTAACTAATGCTTGATCAATCAAATCTATTTTGTTTTGAACTAACACCATTGGTATATTACCACATTCATCTTCCACCTGAAAACATATGATCAATTGGATAATTGTTAACCATTTACATCCCAACATCAATATCTTCAATCTCCTTACTATTCCTTATACATTTTCTAAGGTACTGATGAGGACAATTTGTTTGACAATCATGACCTTCTCTAGTTTGAAATAATTTTTTTTACTCTCATGACTTAAAGTTTGATTTAGCACTGGTGTCGGGAAGAGAAATTATATCCCAGTCACTTTTAGGAGTTAAAGGGTCAAATAAAAAATAAAAAGAAAGGTAAAGTTAACTGATAGTTGAACTAGCGTGGCTGTGTTTCCATACCATGAAGCTAGTAGGAGTGTTGCTAATCCCTTGGATAGGGAATTTCATTGAGCATTTCATCACCTTTCCTTGACAGCTAGCATGAACCCTAGAAATTAATACCCATAATCTGATGCCATTTCATGTCTGCTGAACTATTTCTCATGCCTGGCAGAAAAATTCAAGCTATCACAATCCTTGCCATGTGAAGTGTCAAGAACTAATATGTGAACATACTTATGCCGCTTATTATATCTGAACTTTTATTCTAGTCAAGGTTTTAAATCAAGACCACAAAACTGAATGCCTTGATGGTTGAGTATGATTAAGGTAATTTTGGACTCAAGCTTTTATGCTGTGAAATATTACACTTGCATCTCCACAGGTTCACTTTGACACTTCTCTATTCACACTGATTCAAAAGTAATAATATATTTTAAAGCAGTGTAAATATTAATTATTTCTAAGAACATACCTTTGTTCTCCATTTTTCGACAGCTTCAAAAGAGTCTCTGTCAACAGTAGAAAATACAATTGCACAAGCTTGAGCACCTGCAGTCAAGAAAACACAACATAATTAAGCCAGCCAAAAAAATTATTGTTGACAATCATCCTTGGCAAGTGAAAAGTCACTAGGGAGCAGGAATGGTGCTGTCTAGTAATTTTCCATACAGTCCCCTAGTTAAAGCCAATCAAAAGATCTTAGAACCTCTTTGAGTCTAACCCTTAAAAACCAAGTTCAAAGTCTGTACTTTAAATTACAGAAAGAGTTTTATCCATTCAGGTTTATGGCCCAAGTGCACTGGCCATAAGGTTAAGAAAAGTTACTTTGTTTGTGACAACTGTCCAAGAAGTTCTGTATACCTCTAAGTCAGACTCAGATCCTGACCCCTCATAAATGGGGAGACCATAGGAAAAATTGGGCAAAGCTAGAGAAGTAAAGAAATGATCTATTTCCTTCTAAGTGTACTGCTCCATCCTAAGGGTCCGTTAAACATGTAGGCATTTGTTTGCTTTCTTTAATTTAAGATTCAAATGGGCCCAAAATCTACAATCACTTAGGAGAGTAACACTGGACTGAGTTAGCTCTGAACTATTTAACTTTGAAATTCTCTGAACACAATACTAGCTACAACCTGAGGGACTCCGAGAACAAACTTAGGGTTTGATTATTACACATAAATTATCTCAAAATAGAATCCCTCAGGTCCTTTGACAAAGCTCTCTGAGGCATGGCATTCAAGAAGAACAGCTATAGTTAAATCCTTTTGTAAATAGCTGATGAATTGCCCGAGATTAGATAAAATTTATTGATTGATTAAAACTAGATTACAACATTGGGGAATATCATATATTGGATCAAAATGACTGCTGCTACAGCTTTTCTTCCTAAAAAATTAGTCCTTAATATTTAATTGAATTGCAAGACCTGGACACTCCAACCCCTTTTGAGGGGAATTAGGGAGTATATTTTAGTGCTAAAGGTGCCAGCCTCAAGGGGGTTCTGGGGCATGCCTTCCCCAGGAAATTTTTCAAATTTAATTTCTCTCAAGTGGCATTTCCTGCATTTTGACATCATTTTGTGGTATTCTAGAAGGTTTTCATTCTTATCACATATATCTTGGAGCTTTTCTTTGCTATAGTTGATCCATCTTTTCAGAATCAAAAAGGGAAAATTCTTTTACTACTTTTACAATAGCCACTTTGAAAGACCATGAATAATTGTAAACTTTCTGTCCATAAGGTATAAATGCATTCAGTGGGGAGCCACAAAAAAGATAACATATTTCCTTTGTCATCAGAATTTTATGATAAATCTGGAGAACCTGATAAAAATAGGGATAACAAGAGGCAACACATCAAATCTGGAGACTCCAGATTGGATCAGGAGGGTTGGAATGTCAGAAAACCCCTTTTTCTCTTTGGACCATGGAAAATTTCTGGCTTGAGTCAGAATTACAGATGTGGACCATTGGGCCAGATTAAAGTTACTGTATGCAAAATCATTAAGTTCTAGACAGACATTCAGATATCTGTTACAAGGCTAGCCCTTAAATCAATATATCCATTTTTTTAACCAAAAGGTGGCATAGCAAGAGCCAGCCTAATTAACTGCACTCAGATCAGAAGCTCTAAATATCTCCATGGAGGTTCAAGGTGAGACACATGTGGTGTAATCATTGAAAATATTACAAAGTGCATTATAGTAATCAGGAGATGACATTAATTGTTCACATAGGGGTCCTCTTGAAATTATGCAAATTTAGGGAGGATATTGGTTCTCTAAATGGTCAAGATGTTCAAGACAAAATGTGTCCGTGAATCTGCAAAGACTTGTGCAAATGATGCTGTCACATGCTTGACATCTCTAAAATTCACCAGACGCAGTGAGGCGGAAAGGATTTTAAACAATGATAGTAACTTCATTGTGTTCCATTCTTACGGCCCTTCATAAGGATTTGTTAAAACAAAGACTACGATCTTCATAAAAAAATCCCATTGTGAGCTCTTACAACAACCAAACATCCGCCCGAAAGATTTAATTATTTCATCTTCGATCGTCATTTTATTGTGGCAAAGCTGAATTTATTTTACGTAACAGTTCATTACACGAGAATTTATCGCAGTTAAGTTGCAGGGTGCGCCGAACAAAATATAAATAATTATGTATGTAAAAAAAAATCACCGGTTGCTCTACATGCATATGGCTCATTTACTTTTAGAATTATTTCACTCTCTCAAGGAAATAAAAACATGACCACCCGAACTAGGATTTTAACTTATAATTTCGAAACGATGGAAAGTCGAAAATTTCCGCAACGATATAAAACAAGTGGGTAAACACAATTGCCAATCATTTTTAATACTCTAGAAACTGCAATTTAACGAAAGGTTTGCTGAAGGGATTCGTTGCCGAAAAGGGTATTAACTGTGATTAAGAAAACGACGCAAACTTTGGAAAATGTACCGCAGCAAACGACAATTCCACTGAAAAATATTCCAATATGCAGCGTTCCTTGAGATCGATTGCGATCGACGAAATAAACAAATTCTTTTACCCGTGTACTTCAAAGTAAGGTTTCGAAAACCTGGAGACTGTAATGCCTATTTACAACTACCACTCATACCTGCAATCAATTACAGACACACATCGCTACCTACCTCGGTAGTAAGCCTTAGTTATGGCGTCAAATTCCTCTTGTCCGGCTGTGTCCCACAACATTAACCGAACGTCTTCGCCCCTAACACTGCAATGACACAAATTAAAGATCGTTTAGAGAGAACTCTTAGACCAACATTTTCGCCCATGAAAACCGGTGATTACTCTCAGTTATATACACTGCTGAAATATGCAAAGAATATTGGAAAATCACAAAACATTTATTACAAAATCACTGAGCGGTCTTCTCGTAAAGTGCATCAATACTCCTGAAGGCTCGCCCGACAGTTGATCACACACCCGTTCGCGTTGCTCTTCCTCACCTGATTTGCCTCTCTAAAAAGTCCACTCCTATCGTCTTTTTGTAGTCTCTGGTGAAAATACCTTTGCAGTATCTCTGAATCATACTACTTTTACCAACGGCTCCATTTCCTACAACCACGACTTTGATCGCAACTTCTACGTCTTCCTCGCGCATAATGGCCGACTAGGCGATCTCTAAACAAGTCCAAAGTTACCCAAACGTGAATCCAACGATAGACACAGATTAGCTCTTTCTCCTGTTAAAACCGATATCCTTCAAGATCTCGGCAGATGAAAGTAAATTTATTTCCGTTAACAAGACATCGCAGTCGAACGAGACAATCCCTGGATCAAGCGCGTGCACACCCTCTACTCGCTGCACGAAATGACGGCTCACGAATGTAAATCCAAAATGGAGTCGTTTCCTTTGCAAAACTCTTTTTGTTAGTTTTTTGAAAAGAGGTGTTATTGATAACTTCTGAAGAATTGGGCAATGGTGTCTAGCGACTTAAAGATGTGGATTTTTGGCCTCGTCTCGAACTGTACTCTCTACTGGAAGCATTATGGGTAATTTAGCTTGGTGTTGCTGTTGTTATGACAACGCCAAATTTTCGTTCTCTCCTTAATCAAGATATGAACATTAGTTCACATTAATATGACCGTATTTTTTTTTCCCGATCTGTTTTCAACTTCATATTTTACAAATTAATGGGAATTGTGGTTAGATATTCTGTGAAATGATTCGTTTAAATTAAAATACTTTTTGAGCGTCTATCAATTCGAGGCTCGATATTCAACCGGAAGAGTTGAGATTCAGCTGTTACATTCATTCTCTCAGCTGTTCGTTCGACTTAAGCTTGCTCACACAAAAACAGAAGAATTCTGACAATAGAAGACTAAAAAACGCAGAGAAAATGTCTGAATTATGTCCCATATATACTACATTCTTTCGTGGGTCAGTTGTTAAAGTGATTCTATAACATCGCGGGGGTCGCGGAAGGCATGAATTAATTGTATATCAGTCTTCTTCTTGAAATTGTGCGTCGAAAATCCTTCCGTCTTTTCTTTCACTTTGTCCTACAAATATGTCATCATTTTACGTCTATGGAATATTATGGAGACCAAGAGGGTCTAGTCTTTATGAAAAACAGGAAGATCTAGTCTTGTTGAACTTGACAACCAATCAGCAGCTGTTCAGGAAATGTTCCACGAAGGCTTCTCAGAAAAATCGACGGGCCTCATCTTCGGGGGTACTTCCCAGAAAAGACTCATGGGAATGTGCCACTGAATGGGGTCGCTATGTCACAACTGGATTGACTCTAATGCCGGTTGTATTTTGAGTAGAAATACAGGAATTGCCTCGCAATTTTTTTGGGATTTGGAGGGTAAGAAAATTCTGGTAAGAAAGGATTTAAAAATGGGAAGATTCGCGGTTAAAAATAGTTAATTTGGCCAAAAATTGAGCTAGATGGGGTCCATAATTGGCCACAAAATAGACTTTAATGTGGTAGGGGTTTTTAGAGGCCAGCGGCAAATACCCCGCAAAAATTGACCCAATTACCCCCCCCCCCCCAAAAAAAAAAAAAAAAAACAAAAACAAAAAACAAAAAAGCAAACAAAAAAAAAACATATTTAACCAAAGGGTTGTGTTTATGCGGTAGTTACTGGGAAGGCAGCATTTCAGCTCAGGCGTCCGCTCTGAGGGAGGAGTGCGAGGCACTAGGGACTTTGAGAAGTAAAAAATGAGAGGAATTTCTTATATTTTAGCGTTTCCTTCCTCCTTTACGCGCCTACAGATGTTTCACATGTGAGACGTGTAGATAGGTGGGAGGGGAAGGAGTGTCGAGCTCCGCAAACGACGGCTGCAAAGAAGGCGGGTTGAGGGCAATGATTAGTTTGTAAACAGTTATGACGATTAATGAGGTCTATAAAACCAGAATAAGGGTCGATGATGACCAAGCATGCCTCTGTTTTCGATCGATTATCGTGTACTAACAGTTAGGAAGAACTTTTGAAAAGATGAGGTTTTTATCCCTTTTGGTATTATGTTTGCTATCCTCTAAATCCTTTTCTTAAACCATCAATTTTTCCCTAACAAGTTTCCATGATCAAGTTCTCCTTTGCAGTGAAGATGTCAAAATGGTGACTTCAGCACTACATACACATACTTGATTTTTTTGGGGGTTATTTTTATTTTCTTAAATCGTCTTACTTACTTACTTAGTTGTCATGTCTGAGTTCTTTTTTACGTTGTAGTCTTCAATTAAAACAATTTCTAGACATTTAGATTGAATTCCGGCAAGCGTGGGCTTACAGTAACAATAAGAACATAACGCTAATTTTCTTCATTTCAAGTTGATTTAATTGAGATTTCCGAGAGAGAAAAGCTGTGCAGGCGATCGAGTAGGGTGATTTTAAAGCGAAAAAAAAAAATAAGGCGCGCTGATTTTTTTCTTTTAATTTTCGATTCCCCTTATATAGGACCAATCGAGAAAATCATTATTTTTTATTTTAATTAAGCGACACTACAACACCCATAAAACTTTTTTTCAGTTAATTGTCAGCCTTTAAATGAACATAACTACGTGCCCCTCAGCTTTTTTAGTTTCCTGATGTTATGAATTAAAAATATTTCAACTGGACTTATTGCAGAGCTCAGACAATGATAGAAATCAAGAGAGAGTTGAAGTCTCGAGGAGTGTTTACAGTCAACGAAAAGCTGTTTTTCTTTCAACAAATGTCGGTAGATTTTTTATTCCAAAATTTAATAAAGCGTTACAAAATTTTTAACAAAATTTAATTTGAGAGGAATTTGAGAACGACCAAAAAAAATTCGCAAATTTTTGGTACTGTCACTTGCAGCTGATGTGCAATATCGGTTATGCTTGATGACAATTGTGTATCTTTTGGTCAATTTTTCAAAAGTGATTCCAATTTCTCTCTTTCGCTTTATCATGATAGCATTCACGATGGTTTCATTTGAGATCAAGCACAGTGTGGGAGAACATAACCTCGCGTCTCGATTCCCACGCCGAAAAAGACAGGAAAAATGTGAAAAAAGTAAAATGACGCCTATGGAAGGGTTGTGTGGTTGAATTTTACTGAAAAAAAGTAAACTGATAACAAGGACGAGAGAAGTGATTCAATCATTAAGTTCTGACGGGATTTGCGGATCCTCCATTAAAACAATTTGACGGACGTGTCAGCGCCTTTCAGGTCAGCAGGATGTAGATTTAACTGCCTTCAAATGCCATGAGATCATAGCTCACTTGATTATCTTTGACCAATTGAATATATTTTTTTTGCTTAAATCCTGATAAACCTTCACCGATAAGAAGTATAATTTTTTTATCACACAACTTTTTTTGCAAAAAAAAGTCGTGTAGATGAAAACGAAAAAAATTGACCGTCTTTATCTTTCTTCAGAGCGAAAAGGTATTTTCATAAACAGAAACACCTAGACGTCGTATTATGATCATTCATTTCGCTTTTCTTCTGACAGATTTGAATTTCAATGCAGTCAAATCACCCCAAAGGAGAAAGCAATCTTAATTGACCGGATAAACTGACTAAAACATGGAGACCTAAAAGCTGTGTAGGCGAGGAATTTGCATAGAAATTATAAAATCTTGGCAAAAAATAACAGAGCCTTTATTTTAAGTTTTTGGCCGATTGTTTTCCGTCGTCACAATTTAAAAGGTAATTTTTTCGCCCCATCATCGTTTATCTGGAATCCAAAAATAAAGCTTACTCTTAGTAACATGGCACTGATAAGAGGAAATTTCTCATAGACTATTTGCAAATAACACTTGGAAATTGAGTGAAAGCTCTCTGAGATAGTTTCTTTAAGATGGGGAGTCAACATGCAAGTTGGATGGGAAATGTCATAAACATTTAAGATGATAAATGCTTTGAAAACAAATTCGCAGCATTACGTATTCACAATCTGAAAGTTATCTCCGGCCACTGAGGTGTCGAATGAAAATAAGCCCGAGAAAAACGTCTTCTCTTAGACATGACCTGTGCTAAAACAAATTTTTACAACGAATAACAAACAGCCAATTAATGAAAGGTGGTCATGGAAAATTCTGTCGGTTTTTTGCACTTCAGAAAACACATCTTATGCTGCTTCTGTTAATGGAGTAAATTTAATTCCCGCCAGTTATGAAATATTTATTGATGTCACTTCTCTCCGACAGCCAATAAGATAGAAGAAGAACAAATGCCCGTGAGCGCTGTGTGAATTCATAATGAAACCACACCGGCAGTCACCCACATAACTCGGAAAAATTTCTAGTTCTCACCCTCACAATTTTGCCTTCGTTATCCATCTCGAAAGGTGTTTCGGTGAAATGTCATCTCAGAGAGAAGAAATGATTCTCTCCGATATTCTCAAGTGCTTTCGAGCGCCTTTGAGTGAAGAACAAGCTTGGGCTGTGTGTTATCAAAGCACTAAGGAACTGATCGCCATTCAGAAAGAGAGCTTTGGGGCATTGAGACAGCAAAAAATCGACATTCAACTATCGACGATTGAAATTCGCAAAGACGGTAGTGTTTTCTTCACTAAGATAGACGAATCGAACACGGTTCAACGAGAGTCTGCTGTCCTTTTCGACTTGGGAAGCGTTGTTTATGAGTGCCTAGACTACGGTATGGAGGCGTTTGTAGAACGTGAACTCGATGAAGAACTCGAAAAACTCATTGTGGACATGACCAACTGTGATCACATTGGTGAAGGGGTTTTGATTCCAGACAACTTGAGCTTTGATCTACCGAGCCCTCGCGGAAGGTTGATATCGAAAAATGAAAGTGATTGCTCCGAAAAGGTTCAAGAAATCATGAGCTGTGATATCACGCTGGATGCTGTTTTGAATCGCTGTGCTAACCACCTGCCCAAGGACATTATCGACCCAGGTGAACATTTCCGCGCAGTGAGTCGAGCGCTCGTCAGCGAAGCAGTGGAATTGTCAGCATTTCTTCACCAACTCTGCAATGGACGCGCTCTTGTCGCTCAAACATGGGGACGTGGAGTAGGACCGACAAATTGGGCTTTCTTACAAAGCTTACAAGCGGCAGAGTGGGCCCAGTTATGGCTGCAAGTCATGAAAGAGCTGCGACAGGGGGTGAGCTTACGGCGTGTTGATCAAGCCAAATTACCGCTCGTCACATACGAGCTGTCGCCCTACGAGATTCTCCTTCAGGACATTCGGAACAAACGCCACACTTTGAACCACGTCGACATCAATGCCATGGTGAAAAAAGACGCCCACGATGTCATTCTGGAGTTCATTCGGTCCAGACCGCCGTTATCGAAGGTGAGCCTTCGTAAGATGAAGCAATATCCGAAGAAAAGTCCGAGCCCTTTTGATAAGTTATTAAATGAGATCCGATCAAAGCCGAAGTTGAGGCCTGCACCTCGACCAGCCTTAAAGAGCGTGAGAGAAATCTACTTTGAAGAGAAAACTGGCGTTCCCTTAAACGAGACGGATGTAGCACCACCCAAACGCAAATGCCTCAAACCAACAATCAAACTGACA